TATAAATATATATATAAGATGTACGAAATAAAGTCTATACTATTTAAGTAATGCTTTGTACAATAAAAAGTACTCACAGAAAAATTCAGAGTATTATATTTCCACAATCTCTTATGAATAGTTATAACACTCGATTACAACATCGATGTTAAAAGATCGATTTTAAAAGAAAGACAGTTAATATTTGTAATTCTTTCTTATCGTATTTTTATGTAAGTAGAACTTTTTTGTTTCATCAACAGTTTTTCTATTATTTTTATTCTTTCTCAACTCAACAATATAATATAAAATTAGATATAATTTTAATTATTTACAAAATTAATTGCCTTTAATGAGAGAATAAAATTTGGAATATCGATATAAATCAAAATTATTCCTATCGAAAAAATCATTGTCAAGCGGTTATATATTGATCATCAATGATCCAATTTTCTTTCTTCCATAAAAAAAGAGGTACATGCTCTTACCCATCCATCATTTATTTTCAGTCACTCGACGAAGTCTGGATATGATTCGAGTTCGTGCAACGGATCCTAGGCCTTGTCCGAAGTGCGGAAAGATGTATCGTTCAGCACATACATTACGCACTCATTTGGAAGACAAACATACAGTCTGTCCAGGATATCGCTGTGTTTTATGCGGAACAGTAGCAAAGTCTCGGAATTCTCTACATTCACACATGTCGAGACAACATCGAGGCATCAGTACGAAAGATCTTCCAGTTATGCCGATGCCCAGTAAATTCGATCCAGAATTGGCGTCCCGTTTATTAGCTAAGGCTGGAGTAAAGGTGAGTCCGGCTGAACTTCGCGCACGAGCCAGCCCAACAGCATCTCGAAGAAGCGACATGAGGTTGGAGCCACCTCGTGCAGGTGCATCCGAAGTTGACAGCTGCGGCGGTGATGATCCCGAAGACCTTAGCCTTAGGTATAGTTCGCCACTTTCGAACACCGTTATTACTAAGGTAAGCGGCAACAGCAACAGTAGCAGCAATAGCAAGAATTCGACAACGATCGTCCCCAAGTCCTTGGATGCCATGCATGGTAATGGTGATCTCAACATGGCACCACTGCCACATGGCAGTCATCATTCAGGCCACAATACTAGTGCGATTGCTGGCTCGGCGATTTTGGACACCTATTTGCAATTTATTGCAGAGAACTCTGGCCTATCGGCGATAGGACTTGGCCCTGAGCATGCGGCCGCCGTGCATGCACATGCCGCTAAGATGCGCATGAATCTGGAAAAACACGGCAGTCGCAGCTTGGAAGATTATCCTATCATTGGCAGAGACGAGGGTCGAGGTTCCGGAGTTGTTCATGAGGACAGACAGGAATTTGACAGACACAGCGGACTTGTCGATGAAGCGGAATCGTCAGGTGCGGATGATGACGAATTTAGCGAGAATGAGGAGCCAGAAGTGATAAAGGAATAATTCCTTCCTTTTAGAATAGCTAATGATTTTAAAGAGCATCTTCGAATTAATGACGAGTTCCTCGAAATGATCTGCAATTTGCGGCATTAATTGGCGCTCGCGACAATTCTTGTTTGAATGAAGTAAGGAAAGTAATATATATGCCAGATCGTCCATCCGAAGAATCGACCAACGATTCTTGTTTCTTATTGCCTGCTCTATTACTGCGTGAAATAACTTGTGAAGTTTATCGGATGCCAGATATGTTTGAAAAATTAAAAAGTCTTCAAAGTATTTTGACGCAAACAGATTAGATGGTGCGTGGATAAGCTTGCTTGTTGGATTAGAGTCACTTAATTGCCATTACAGCAAGTAAGCATATGTATATATGCAAAACTATGCATATGCAACACGCACATACACATACATGCATACAGATACACATATATATGTATACAGCGCGTATGCGCGATGGAGAGCACCCACATATACGCCACAAATATTCCATCCATCTACCTCAGTGCACATAATAGATGATAGAACAGACTAACGAATCTCAATAAATGAAGAGAAGATGAAGTACGCCGTTGGATCGCAGAACAACAATGATCGCAAGGTTTGATTGTTGCAAGCTCTAAGATATCAAATATGATGACTAGGCAAGGCAATTTTGCTATTTATTTCTCGATTAAATGACTTAAAAATTTATGTGCGATAATTAACACATTTGTTATTATGTTATTATTATTATAAATGTTGAACACACATTTTTATATCACTTAAATTTATAAAAACTTTAGACTTTCAGACAACATTTAGTTATTTAAAAACTTTTTTATTTGGGTAATGTGCGTAGCGAATAGTATCATATCGTATCTATCAGATGCACATAATTGGAATACTTTGATATATTAATGCCATGTCATTCATATATGAATGACACTCAATTTCATAAAAAATTCTCCAGAAAGTCAAATATATTTTCTTTTATAATTTATTATTTTGCCATAAAAATAAAAATTATTATTATTAAATAATAAATCTTTTTATGAAAATTTGACATTTCTGTATTTATTTTTATTTAAATGACTAGAGGAATTTTTAGAAACAAAAAATGTCATTCGTATATAATGTAATTATGTTAATAACGTTTAATACATAACTGTCTCCTGCTCACTAAAAAAAATTGATATGGATTATAAAATATTCTTGTAATTGCAGGCGCATCTGAAATTATTATAGACTTTATTCGCGATATGAGTACGATAATTGTGTTTTAGTCTTGCTCCAATTAAATATTCTTTAGTGGAATTTAAATATAATTATTCACATCATCAATTTGTTCAAATTCAGGTATTGGATTTTTAAGATAAATATTTTAGCGGAATATCATGTAATTCTCTATATAGCTTTAAGCACTATAAATATCAATAAATTACAGCTTGTATATATTTTTCGAAAGGTAACTATTTACTTTAATTGCAATTTGTTACAAAAAGAAAATGAATTTTTTAATTTTAAAACAAGTAAAATATTCTCTAATGCCTAAAAAAATTGAAGAATTTTGCAAAAGGTAACTGATAATTTTGTAACTTAATTAAAAATACTTATGTATTACTTATGTATAAAAACATATCTGTATTAAATAACAAAATATGAATACTAAATACTTAATTTATCAGATGAAACGGATAAATTTAAATAACGTTGAAACACAATCATAACTGAATTATTATATTTATATTTATTTTGAATTGAAAAACAGTGGAGCGAAACTGGATCACAATTAAATCGCCTCTATATCGATAGTGAATAAAGCATCTCGATTGTACATATACACGCTTTTGATATTTAATTAATCTTTTGAATTGAACAAAATAGTTGTTTTTTTGAGAACATTTTTTTATTCAATGTTAAATGTGAGTTCGAAGAGTAAAAAAAGTACTGAAAAAAGTATGTCAATCATTTTGACATATTTGTATAGATTACGTGCGTTGACCCATTTAAGATTTGATTTAATTTTGGCTAATTACAACTGGATTTGTTGTTTATATTCTGTTTTTCTTTTCAAGTAAGTAACTTAAAAAAAGGAGAAAAAAATGTGGAATATTTAATTCCATTTTTAGTTTCTCTTTAACCTCACCTTTTCATCCTATCATCTCTTGCATGCAACATTTCTTTTGGGACAGATATTTTAAGCTTGCCATGACGTAGTTAAGTAGTGATTTAAGTTTGTTGTTGACAGGAAAAAAATACGGTAGTTATCATATGTCAGTAATAAAATATTAGAAGTAAAATCGGCGCGGTTTTCGAGATTGTAAATTGCACTAATTATTAACGAACTACGATAAAAGGCGATTAAATTTATTCCGCGATCTCGCGATGAGAGACTGCTACGTTTGAACGTAAATGCGTTTAAACACACGGCTTCTCGAATAATGCAACGAATATATTATTATTCGTTGCTTGCGCAAACGTAATGTTCTTAACGCGATAGAGATTTCTTCTATTTTCGCGAGGCGTAGAGAAAAGTTAAAGGAAGATTCGCCACTGAAACGTGCACGACGCGAACGTCGTGAAATTGTTCCTACTAATATATATATATATATATATTTTTTTTTTTATATATATATATATATATATATATATATAAAATTCATAAGTTAATTTCATTGATAATACATTTCATAGATTCTACGTATATGATAATAATAGAAATACACGTATACGTATATATGTATTCTTTATATATGCGTATAAAAAAGTGGAGAGAAATTTAGCAATATGTAGCAGCGTGGCGCGGGTCAAACGCGATTGAGAAATTGTTGAAAAATTGTTTTCTCACTTTAAAAGATAAACTATATCATATTTTTGATCGGTTTGACCAATTGAGTTACGATACATCGGATATCTTGGCCCTTGATGCGTGGGACTTTCTTGGAGATCTGTATTTTTCATAAAAAGAGAAATTCTAGTTGATCAATGCTAAAGATTGTAACATGAATTAAGCATGAAGCAATTTGAAATTTCCATGAAAAATTATCATAAAAGACCGCGAATTTTATCTTAACATAAAATTCCGCGCGAGAAACTATGAGTTGATTAAAACCACAATATTTTTATGCGCTCTGAATTTTTCATGCAGAGAAACTATCGAGAAACTATGCGGTGCTCGTGTACCGCTTTATATTCGATAAAAATATTAAAAAACATAAAAAATTGAAAAGTCAAACAGAAGTTATATAAAAAATCAAATTATGAAAAGTCATAGAAATTATAAAAGAGTTGTTAAACAAGTCATGAAAAAAGTAAAATAGAATTATCGCGTTTATTACAAACAAATTAAATTGTTTGTAATAAAATTCAATAGCGTTAGTTATGGAAATATATAAACGTTGATTTACAGAAGAATTGGATACAAACATTCTTAGTAATTGATACTATAGGAACATGTATATCCCTTGAATCTTGAGTTCCGTTGCATTTCATGATCGTTAAAGTGAAAATTATTAATAGATACTTGTATTTTAATTTTGAATAATTAATTGAATATCTTAATCTTCACAAATTTTTGATGTCAAGTTCTGTTACATCGAAACAAGAAATTCAGGACTATTTCATTATTATGCTAAGACTATATGAACTATTGGAGAAATGATTACATTCTCTTTTCTCTATATAGTATTTTGAGAGCTCAGATCAGATTCTTATCTGTTACCCAAAATAGACATTTTCTTATCAGTAATTTTAATTTTCTACATTAAATTTAAAAAATAGTTATTGAAAAATGAAAACTTTTTAGGCCACGTATTTCAATTCATGTTGACAATGCTCATGAGCATCATTTGTCTTTGTTTAATTTAACAAACAACAAGAATAAATCAGGGTTGTCACAGACCTAGAAAACCAGGAAAAATCAAGGAAATTGATATTAGTGTATATGGAAAAACCGGGAAAAATCAGGAAAAAATGTAAAAAAGTCTAGAATTTTGAAATTTGCTCACAATTTTCTTAAACTGCTCCTATTTTAAATAATTGTTATAATTTTTTATTATATCTGACGTTTATAATGAAATATGTTTTGCACACTTTAAACGATTTTAATAAAATAATTAAAATTTATATTTTATTCAGTATTTTTATTTGATCGCACTTTTTTGTAACTGCATTCTTTTCCAATTTATTTCTAATTTATTTTTTGTTGGCACCCAATGAATTTGCACCCAAAATTTTAGAATGCTATTAAACCTTTTTTGTATTGTTTTTAATATAAATTATCTTTCCTACAATTCTTAACTTTAAATGTATTAAAATTTATATATTTTATATTGAAAAGTTTTCCATTTTCATCTGAAAAACTTGGAAAAGTCAGGGAATTTTAAAATTTATTTTCTGTGGCAACCCTGATAATTTTTAAGCATTGTGAACGTGAATCGCAGCCTTAATCAAAGATAAGAAAATGATATTTGGAATCAGGAATTTGGCAATTCTCTGTCTTTTATTCTGTGCAACATTTTATCTTGAACACTTAATGGAATAAATATTTATTATTATATAAAAAACAATGACTGCATCAGAATTAGTGCCTATTCATATTGGATGCCCAAAATCTGCCTAAATTGACTCAATTGGACTGTTAATAATAAATTTAATTTAGTATGCTAAAGAATAAGTATGCATTTTTTTTTATTAGCACAACTTTATTCTGAAGGTATAGGTTGAACTCAACAGGATAATGTACTAAACCTATTCAATATTTTTTAATTGATCCTACACCTCATGTTTTAATTAATTTATAAGAAATTATGAGAGAGAAGATTATGAAAGAGGGAAATTTTATAAGAAATTTATCCAACAAAAATGAAGTCCTATATACAACGCACAGTAAAGCAGAATCTAAAAAGTTGGCCCAAATTTAGAAAAATACTTCGTCTAATTTTTTAGGAGACTTCGTCTCATATTACTTTCTTAGTTTTTATAAACAATCGTAAATTATATTAAGTTAATTGCAGTATATTAAT